TAGATAGATAGATAGATAGATAGATAGATAGATAGATAGATAGATAGATAGATAGATAGATAGATAGATAGATAGATAGATAGATAGATAGAGTGGGGATCCCTTACAAATCATTTTCTCCTTTTGCAGGGACTTTTGTTTTTCGCAGTGATCTCTGCCTATTTCGGCAGCCTGAGTGCCTTGTCGCCTTCCTATGAGTGGATCCTGGTGCTACGTTTTATTGTAGGCCTGGGACTGGGCGCCACCCCGCAATCGTGAGTAAATTATAATAAATAGTCCTTTAGCTATCTTAGAATTACAAAGTTCTATCTGACATTTTGGCGGTTTTGAGTTACCATGACCATGAGGTCAGAAACCAAATGTTCTATCTGCTCTATTAAAATCGTATGCTTATTTGGAATTGTTATCGAGATATTCAAAGAATTGCATAAAAAAAGCTTGATATGTTGTGATGAAACTCACATTTTTTTGTTTACCTCAAATTTCTCAAAATTTGGCACTGGGCAGTTACAACTTAGTCATTTTAGTGTAGCGATTTGTATAGCGCAAATTCCTGCCCAACATGAAGCTCTAAGCACTGTACAATCTATGTTATTACCCCAGCAGACCTGATAGTATTCTGAAACAATCTCAATTTCCTGGGAAGCATACAGTGCTAGCTGCCTTTTCATAGGCGCTAGAACATTAACATACTGACAAGACTTTTCGTTGTCTGTGGCCGGGCACCCATTCCCACTCCCACTTGGGCGAAGTAAGGAACAATCATGTAAAACTGTAAAGTGCCTTTCACAAGGACACAACGTCGGGTCTGAGGCTTGAATCCCCGATCCTGCAATCTCACGATTACGAGTCCGGTAGCCTAACCACTAAACCGCCGACGCCAAGAGTACTAGTGGCTTTGTCAGCAGTGTACGCCCGTAACTGTTTAGCACCTGGTAAAAGTACAGAAACAAAAGTGGCATAAGTTAAATGCCACTGCCGACACTGTAAGGTTTCTTTTTAGGAGGCGGTTGCTCCGAGTTTAACGTCCCTCTCCGAAAGGACTGAGCCAAAGAGGAAATTCGCATTGTACATACCAGCAAAGATACTACGCCCTACGTACTATCTTTGATACCAGTGACTTTGTGGTACACCTGTGACTATTAAAAGTACAAAAAGAAGTGAAATGGTGTTGGTTTTACGCCCTTGTAAATCCTATAACCCTTTTTAAGAGGCTGGACCTGTAAGTTTGACGTTCATCTCCGAAAGGACAGAGACCAAATAGGAAATTCATGTCATAAGTACCAGTGACTTTATCAGTGACCCCGCAACTGTTCAGCACCTGTCAAAAGTACCAAAAATGTTAACTGGTATAAGTTTAACCCCCCTTTCAATACTATATGGTTTCTTTTTAGGAGGCGGCTCCTCCGAGTTTAACGCCCATCACCAAAAAGGACAAATCCAGATAGGAAATTCGGATAAAGCGCCTTCCCCAAGGACAGAGAGTCGGACCGAGCGTATAAACAGGGAGACGCACATATCGTGGCACTCTGAATATCGTTATCATGTCGGACTTAACTTTGCATGGTAGGAGATCGTTTGCTTTGGTAGTCACACCAATTCTAGTCTCAGACTGATAACCGCACTGAAGTCAGTTACGACTTCTGCCACCATCTAGAAATTTGATGTAGAGGTTCAAATATGAAGAGGATCCAAATCATTCTTATCCTTCCGGGAGTGTTCATTGTTTGACTAAGAGGTGTTTGTGTGTGTGTGTGTGTGTGTGTGTGTGTGTGTGTGTGTGTGTGTGTGTGT